TATATAGGAGCCTCTGTGGCGCAGTGGTTAGAGTGCAGTACTGCAAGTTACTTCTGCTTGCAGCCAGCTGCCTGCAATTTGGCAGTTCAAATCTCACCAGGCTCAAGGTTGACTCAGCCTTCCATCCTTCCAAGGTGGGTAAAATGTGGACCCAAATTGTTGGGGGCAAAATGCTGACTCTGTGAACTGCTTAGAGTGGGCTGTAAAGCACTATAAAGCGGTATATAAGTCTAAGTGCTATTGCTATATAGCATATATGGACGCAATATAGCATCCTAGCATTCTTTATCCCATTTCCCCCTACAAAAACTACCTTTTGAGGTAGATGTGGCTGGGAGGGGACATCTAACATAAAATCATTCGCTGAGTTTCCATGGTTGAAGGTCAAGTAGAACCTGGATCTCCTCAGTGCCGATCTAACATCTTAAACTCTACACCATCTGAGAACTTATCTGTTACAATGGCTGAGAAAGAGGAGAGAATTCTGTCCCGGCCACATTCCCGTTCTATGCATGGAGGTGGGAACCCTTTTCTTTCATCGGCTGACTTGGTTTGCATCAACCCCAAGGTGAAGCAAAACATGGCATCCAGTCTCTGCCTATTCATTCACTTGCCTGCATATGGTGGCTTGACTTCTCTTGAACTTGGGAATGTTTGGACGCAAGCCAAGGTAATTAACTTCTAAGCAGGATCCTCTCAATTTCGCTCACTGCTGGGTCTGAGAATATCCAAAACAAACTCTGAAAATTTGCCCTACGATAGAAGAGCTGTATGAGAAAGCCTCCCCTGATGTACAGTCCATTCAAGGGGCTCAGAGTGCTTCTAAGTTATCTCCCAGCTAAGATAGTTTATGAAGTCTGCTTATTTCTTATTAGAGCATGCGCATTGGATCCCTTCAGGCCATTTTCTGAGTAATGCCCAAGTAGAGGAGGATACTGGAAAAGTGATCATTCCCCTCGTAAGTGATCAGGATTAATTTCAGATGAGCCAGACTACTCGTTGTCCTCACTTTATAGGCATCTTCTATGAGCTGCACCACATTTCTGGAGTCGGACTTCAGTTCCCCCACCACTGACTTTGGAATGAGCTTGCTCAGCTCCTAGAGAGGAGAAGAAAATGTGAGGGGGAGATTCTCCAATCGTCCAAGTACATCTCCCTTCCCCACTCTTCAACTCAGCAGTCACCTTGTATAAGGACAGCCTGGAACTAGTCACGGCAAATATGGGTTGAATGTTAGATTTGGACAACACTTCAGCCAAGTGCCCAAGAGAAGGGTAGTCCTGCAAAGAGACAGAGGCTGTGGTTACAGGGGCAGGTGCTTTTCTTCATTTTCCTCCTCTAGGAACCTCCCCTTCCTTCTCCTCAGGACTTCAGATAGAATCCAGGAGCTTTGGTACTCTCCTTCCAAGCCAAATGTCGTAAATTTACTCTTACACTCCAAAAAAAGCACAGTCTGGAGAAGGCCATTTTCACCCTCCCAGAGGCCTGGGGGAGGCCATTTTCACCCTCCTAGAAGCCTGGGGGCGGCCATTTTCACCCTCCCAGAGGCCTGGGGGAGGCCTCCAGAGGCCCTTGGGAGGGAGAAAAATGGCCCTCCCATAAGTACTGGAAGTTCAGAAATGGGCCTGTTTCCGGCTTCTGGTGGGCCTCCGGAACCCGGGAGAGGCTGGTTTTGGCCCAGGAGAAGCCTCCGGACTCTTGGGAGGGTGAAATTCCAGTAGGCCATGCCCACCATGGCCATGCCCACCCAGCAGCCAAGCAGCAACCCGGTTGCTGGGATTTTTGAATCCCACCCCTGATCAGAACATTTATATACACATCCACTGTCAAACTACCAGCTTATTTCCCTAGCTGCTATAGAGGAATAGGGAATAGTACAATATTGTGATGTTGAGCTCAGTAATATAAAAAGTTGGGGTGGGGAGGCAAATGTACAGCTCTCATTCTTGGTGACAATGACCCCATAACCAAATTAAGGGTTAAAGATACAGGTGAAACTCGAAAAATTAGAATATAGTGCAAAAGTTCATTTATTTCAGTAATGCAACTTAAAAGGTGAACCTAATATATGAGAAGATTCATTACATGCAAAGCAAGATACTTCAAGCCATGATTTGTCATAATTGTGATTATTATGGCTTACAGCTCATGAAAACCCCAAATCTACAATCTCAGAAAATTAGAATATTACATGGAATCAATAAAACAAGGATTGTACATAGACCAATATCAGACCTCTGAAAAGTATAAGCATGCCTATGGACTCAGTACTTGGTTTGGGCCCCTTCTGCAGCAATTACTGCCTCAATGCGGCGTGGAATGGAAGCTATCAGCCTGTGGCACTGCTGAGGTGTTATAGAAGACCAGGATGCTTCAATTGCGGCCTTCAGCTCTTCTGCATTGTTCGGTCTCATGTCTCTCATATTTCTCTTGGCAATGCCCCTAGACTCTCTATGGGGTTCAGGTCAGGCAAATTTGCTGGCCAATCAAGCACAGTAATCCCATGGTCATTGAACCAGGTTTGGTTGCTTTTGGCAGTGTGGGCAGGTGCCAAGTCCTGCTGGAAAATGAAGTCAGCATCCCCATAAAGCTCATCTGTGGAAGGAAGCATGAAGTGCTCCAAAATCTCCTGGTAGATGGCTGCATTGACCCTGGACTTAATGAAGCACAGTGGACCAACACCAGCAGATGACATGGTTCCCCAAATCAACACAGACTGTGGAAACTTCACACTGGACTTCAAGCATCTTGCAGTGTGTGCCTCTCCATTCTTCCTCCAGACTCTGGGTCCTTGGTTTCCAAATGAGATGCAAAAAATACTCTCATTGGAAAAAAGGACTTTGGACCACTGAGCAACAGACCAGGTTTTTCTTTAGCCCAGGTAAGATACTTCTGACATTGTTTGTTGTTCAGGAGCGATTTGACAAGAGGAATACAACATTTGAAGCCCATGTCCAGGATCCGTCTGTGTGTGGTGGCTCTTGATGCACTGACTCCAGCCTCAGTCCACTCCTTGTGAAAATCCCCACCACTTTTGAATGGCCTTTTCCTGACAATCCTCTCCAGGCTGCGGTCATCCCTGCTGCTTGTGCACCTTTTTCTTCCACACTTTTCCCTTCCACATAACTTTCTATTAATGTGCTTTGATACAGCACTTTGGGAACATCCAACTCCTTTTGAGGCTTTCGCTTCTTACGGAGAGTGTCAATGATGGTTTTCTGTACAACTGTCAGGACAGCAGTCTTTCCCATGATTGTGATTCCGACTGAACCAGACTGAGAGGCCATTTTAAGGCTCAGGAACCCTTTGCAGGTGTTATGGCTTAATTAGCTGATTAAAGTGGGACACTTTGAGCCTAGAATATTGAACCTTTTCACAATATTCTAATTTTCTGAGATTGTGGATTTGGGGTTTTCATGAGCTGTAAGCCATAATCATCTCAATTATGACACATCACGGCTTGAACTATCTTGCTTTGCATGTAATGAGTCTATCATATATATTAGTTTCACCTTTTAAGTTGCATTACTGAAATAAATGAACTTTTGCACGATATTCTAATTTTTCGAGTTTCACCTGTATGCTCAAAGGACAAACCAGGGTTAGACAACCTGACATGCTTCAGATTTGGGTCAATTTCTCATTGGCTCTTATTTTTACTGCATTGGTCAAGGCTTATGGGAGTTGTTAGTGGATTTTTCGTTACTTACTATTGCAACAAATAATCTTACATCCAATGTTATTGCTCATAACAATGGAAAGTACAACTGATATTTGCTCCCTTTTCCTTGGCTAATGACTAGACATTGCTATGAGGAAACATGTTTGATGGTTGTGGGATGGATTCAGTAATCCCAGAGATAGGCAGGATAGACCATCCAAATCACCCATTGGTCCACACATTTACTTTCTCCCTGTTCTTCCTTCCCCCATCAACTTCACAGCCGCAAGCATTTCCATCATGGAGGGACTTCCTCATCATTTCCCTCCCACAGAATTTCAATCAATGCGGGCTGGGAGATTTTTCAATCTCTTTGTTGTCTCCCTATGCCAGGTGGGTGTGTGCAGAGGATTTGGGTTCTGCTTCAATACCTCCTGCAATCTGATGCTCTTCAGATGCATGAGACTTCAACGGTCAGAATTCCTCCTTCAACTAGAGTTAAAATCCAATGCATCAAGAAGATACCAGGTTTTGAGAAGATCGTGCCACTTAATTGTTCAGCACCCCTGAGAGTCCCAGGTTTCGGTGTTGTAGACACTGCCCTTTCACTTATTTTCTGAGTAAGCTTTTCAAGAAAAAAAGAAACCTACATAGAGGTGACTTTTGCTGTATACACCATTGGCATCCAGGTGGCAGCGGCCATCATTGGGCATATGGATCCCTGCCAATTTTCCATCCCCTGCAGTGTGGAAAGTGCCATCTGAAGTGAAAACCAGCAGACTTGTCACATTACGCCAGCCAATCTGCTCCTGGAAAGACAGAGCAAGGATCAGGTGAGATCTCCCACATTCAAAACAGCAACTTCAATTACATCAATGTTTTCAATCTGAATACTCATTCGCCATGTCTCAAGAGTGCTGCATATTCAGAAGAGGTTAAGATGCATTTGAATAAGGCTCGGATCAAAATTCAAGATCTGTTAGACCTACCAATATCAAACCTCAGGTTTTGTCACTTGCTTTAATTTTTAGAAAACAAGATTTCCAACTGAAAATGTGGAAAGCAGCAAACAAATCTAAGATAGCAGTGGCCCAAGTTTGAATGATCAGACTGTGTGATGGCAATGAAATTTTGTTGAATTTTGCTTCAGACTGAGAAAAATTAGAAGTGGCTTCTGGTTGAGGATCTATGGTGGAATAGACATCCCTGATGCCAGGATGGTATTGCTGCAGAAGAGGACAGCCAGTACCAGTGGTGGGATTCAAAAATTTTTACTACCGGTTCTGTGGGCATGGCTTGGTGGGCATGGCAGGGGAAGGATACTGTAAAATCCCCATTCCCTCCCCACTCTTAGGGGAAGGATATTGCAAAATCCCATTCCCTTCCCACCCCACTAACCTGCTTTCCAGCTCCGTTCTCCTGTGCAGGGCAACAAAAGAAGACCCAGCCAATCAGCTGAGACTCGGGAGGCAGAGAATAGATGGGGGAGGGGCCAGTCAGATGTGGTATTCTGAACTACTCAAAATTTCCACTACCGGTTCTCTGAACTACTCAAAATTTCTTCTACCGGTTCTCCAGAATTCATCAGAACCTGCTGAATACCACCTCTGGCCAGTACAGTCTTTCTGGGTAAAGGAGAGATTGTGAGATCGCCTACTTGCATTCCGTACAACTGCTCTTCATGAAGAGATGGCAGAAACTGAGGGTTTTGTGTTTGACCCGAGAGTTGAGCAGTGGGGAGGGCTTTTAATCAAGCTCACAGTCATAATGCAACTTATATGGATACAAGGTTTGTGCAAGCCTCAGTTTCTTAAACACTTTCGGATATAATTAATTTACAGCTAAAGAGAGATTGTTTGAGCAGCAGGGTAAGCTTATTCCACTTTGGTGAGTCAACATTCTTTCTGGATTACAAAGGTATTTAAAGATTTTTAAATGCTTTGTGAAAAGTCTAACAAGGAGTAGGTATGAGTTTAAAACAAAGGGAGGGAGGGAGGGAGGAAGGAAGGAAGGAAGGAAGGAAGGAAGGAAGGAAGGAAGGAAGAGACCTGGTCTGCATAATCCTAGCCTCATAGCTATCTAATGCAGTGGTCCCCAACCTTTTTTGTACCAGGGACCAGTGGCCCGGTACAAAATGATCCACGGACCGGTACCGGCATCAGCACGCATGACCAAGGCAAGGTGAACCGAGAGACCGGCCAGCCAGCCCCCCCCCCCCCCCCCCCCCCCCCCCCCCCCCCC